ACGCTGTCATGCGGACCCGGGTGCGCACTGGGGTACCAAACCCGAGACTACCTGGAGGAGGTGGTCTGAGTTCGGTTGATCCCGAACCGTGCCGCGTGAAAGCAACACGGCGCATGCGTTTTAGCTTATTGTGATGTATTCAGTTAAATAAAACACTTGTAAGGGATGATAGTGTTGACGATTTACCTTGGATACGAGCGAGAGTGAGCCTGCAGTGTATTCGTGCATTGCGCGTGGAATCAGGGCAACAAATTTGGAAATCCACTGTCTCCTCAAAAGAAGCCACCTTATGTGACACACGCACAGTAAACATGTATAGTTCACTCAACTGCGCATAATAGCAGCGAATTAATAAAAAATATTGAATATTGACCCGTGTTCTGGTCTCTATCATGCGCCATGCACGTTTGCGATGACGTAATATGCACGCAAACGTACCAGGGTTCGATAGAATCAAGCTGAGTGTGAAACCAGACCAACGCTGCGGGGGGCGCTGGGAACAAACGCGCCCGGGTCGAAGTAAATGAGCCCAGTGTAAAAGCCCCCTAAGAATCACCGTGTGTGTATAGTTTATCACTGATACAAAATATAAAGCATACTCCTTCAATACAAATATCTGTCATTCATTTGTTTTCCCCACTTTCTTTTGTTTGGGTTGTCAGTTCTTTCTTTTGTTTTGGTTGCTGCTTTTTCTTGTTTGTTTGTTTATTCTTTAATTTATTCACGTTTTTCAAATTCTTTCAATTTTTTTTGTTTGTTTTTTCTTTTGTTTATTTGTGGATAAGTTAGTTTGTTCTTTCTAATATTTGTTTATACATTTGTTTGCTTGTGCACTACTTTCCTTTCATTTGTTTGTTCTTTGTAATATTTATTTATATGTTCGTTCTTCTTTTGTGTACTAGTTCTTATTTTTCTTTTCATTTGTTTTTTCTGTCTAATTTTTTTTAAGCCTTTAAGATGTAAGATGCAATTTAACTAATAGTAAAATTCTAAAAGTGAATTTAATGATCGTTATGTATTTCCATTGATCAATCCTTAATCAATTACTCAATTTAAATGCATAAGGATTATTCATTTAAATTTGATGGAATTTTACTATTAATTAAATTGCGTAAATCTTAAAAAAGGCTTAATTTTTGTGTGTGCAATATTTGGTTATTCATTTGTTCTTTGGTTTGCTTGTGCACTGGATCTTATTTTTCTTTCAATTGCTTGTTTTCTTCCATATTTTATATATATATATATATATATATATATATATAGAAATGTAGCCTATTTCATAAATGTCACGCATATTCGTTATCTGTCCTTTTTGACATCTTTTCCCGTACAACATTAACTTACCTGTTCATTAACTTAACATGCTAGTCAATAATAATAATAATAATAATATAATAATAATAATAATAATAATAATATATATATAATATATATATATATATATATATATATAAATAATAAATAATATATATATATATATATATATATATATATATTATTATTATTATTATTGACTAGCATGTTAAGTTAATGAACAGGTAAGTTAATGTTGTACGGGAAAAGATGTCAAAAAGGACAGATAACGAATATGCGTGACATTTATGAAATAGGCTACATCTGTGAATTATTAAATGTAGTTTCAAATGTTTTATTTATAAATAATATTGACAAAGTAAATAAATCCATGTGTTAGAAAATCACTTGTTCCCAATATATAGTACTATACAGTAAAAAGAAAGCAAAGAGCAATGTTGCAAACGGTCTTTTTGTGCTCCTGGTACCCGCGGTGGTAATAGCCATTTTTGGTTGAGATCAAAATTCCGTTTTAAAACAAAAATCGACATAACATATAACAAAGAGGCAAGCATTTTGTGGAAAGGACCCCCAAGGATGGCTAAAGCTTTCACTACAGCGCATGCCATCAAAGAGAAACTGAACTGATAATGTGGATGCTGTAGTCGAGATTAATGATTATTAATAACTTTAATGAATAAAAGTTTGATATACCTCAACAACTTTGTTTGATCTTTTGTTTGTTTGATCTTTTGTTTGTTTATTCATTATCTCCATTTCCTTTAATTGTCAGTTTGTTTATAACAAGGTTATTCAGCTCTGGTCTTGGAGGGCCACTGTCCTGCAGTTTTCCAACACACTGGAATACTAAATACTCTGTTTTAATATTTTTCAATTCTATTTCAACAAGCTTATGTAAAAAAACCATACGGAGACAAATATGAACACACAATGACACATCAGCTGCATGCTACAAACAATTACGCACAGCAGCTCTTGTGTATGTGTGGGCTCAGGAACGATGTGTTATGTACTGTATCCTGTTATCACGCACATGCAAAAGAACGTGTGCAAGCTAACAAGTTATATAAGATCTAAACTGAGCCACCCTTTACCTCTAAAGCCTATTCTACTTTCTAAATGCCTTCCTCTGATCATTGAGGCATACGGCTCTGTGATTGGAGTGTGACTTGAGTGTGGATGTTGGACCTTGTTGTAAAGACGGGTAGGATTGCCAATTGGCAATGTGTGCTGTACTTAGACTGCTGCTGGATGGACCCTTGAGGGGATATTGAACACAAGCTGCAGAGCAAACTAAACATCTTATTAATGAGCACATGCAGACAAAAGGGAGAAAGAGAGGGAAGACGGTAAAAGACACAGCCGTTAGTTGGTGAAAACGATTGGTATTTCTTTTTCCCCATTACAGTTTTGTTTGCTTTTTTAAACACTTGCCAAGAAATATCATTTTGGAGCTGCAGCTCTGGAGGGAATGAGACACCTGCGATCTACAGATAAAGACACCTGCAGGACCAGAACATGTCCACGCGGCTCAATCTGAGGTGCTAATAATCTCCACGTTGATCAAAGTGACAGCACTGAGTATTGAAGCACCAGGGTGGGGGTTGGGGGGAAACATTTTAGAAGGTAGATTCAATTAATATTAAGACATTTAATGTGCTCTTACTGGTTTACAAGTTTGAGCAGGTTAGTTGAGTAGAATTCAAAACGGAATGTCCAAACGCAACATGCTCAGCTACGTATGCTATCTATTCTGCAGAGTGCCTCGTTGAAACATGAGTAACAAAGTTTCCATTCAGCAGTTTGTGCTGTGAATCATGGGCTGTTACACCTGCAGTCTTAACGGCAGAATGATACACACAAGCTGTAATATTACTAATCACAGCTTTAACATTTAAAGAAAATTGTGTGAGTGAGTGTGTGGACAAGCTGTGACTTCAAGCCTCAAGCTCTAGAGATTACACACCCACAGTTCTTTCACTGACTGTCTGATTCATACTGCTCACAGAATTAGAACGTACTGAACGTGGCAAGCTCTAATCTGATTGGTTGACATTTAAAAGGTACTAGGTTGATAAAATTAGCACTTTTGAGAATGAAAGAATCTCTAGTTGCTTCATGCATTTAGATTGACCAAATTGCTGAATCATTATGCACATTGCATTTAGACTTCTTTCCACATAAATGTGTCTCCATAAAAATGGATATAAAATGGATCTACTCTTCCTGTGCTAAATGAAAATCTAATGTAATGCTTATAAATGCAAGTTTATATCTCACAATCCTGAGAAAAGTCAGAATTTGGGAGATATAACTTCGCAATTGTGAGAAAAAAGTCAGAATTGCAAGTTTATTTCTCGCAATTCAGACTTTATTTCTCGCAATTGCAAGTTTATTTCTCGCAATTGTAAGACTGTAAAACTTGTTGGAGAAACTGTTCTGACCACATGGTCTATTGAAACAAAGGAACTTGCTGAAAATTAACATTCGACCTCCCCCTCACGCAGTCTCACCTGATTTCATTCTCTCACCCAGTAACAGCTAAAACCCACACAAGTATATATATGGTTTAATGTGAATGATTATTGTGTTTAGTATCATTTTAAAGGTCTCAGGGTGGCTGGTTCAGATGTCTCATTCCAAATAAGTAAAACAAAAGGTAATAAGGTTTTTTAGAAGTTTAGAGAAACTGGCACACAAAGAAAGGTGGACAAATGGCCTTTCTCCCCTACCCCCAAAATAAGGTGTAACCTGAATGCAAATTACCATTGAAAAGAAGTTCTGGCTATTTAATGGAATGCAGCAAGGAGTCGTGGCTTTTTCTGTATTTCAGATAGCCCATGAGGACTAGCTCATGTAGTTCTTAAATGTTGGGTTTGCATCATGCAATGCATGATATGCATTGATTATCTTTCAATTGATTATGGAATTGTTATAATACATTTACCTGACATAATAAATTGTTATATTTGATTATTCTAACAGACTTTGACTTTATTTTCATTGGAGTTAAAAGGAATAGTCAAACATTAACGTATATTTAAAGATGCACAGATATCATTGAAAAACACTTTCATTTTATGGAGTCAGATGAAACGAGTTAATACATATGATAGAATGTATTGCATTTAATTAAAAATCCCTTTGCCATTTGAAGAGACGGAACGCGCATGTGACCTTCACCTCTAATCGATACCGCCATTGGATCGAATTAGACGGACTTACAAAATTCTAAGAAAAAAGTCAGAATTGCGAGATGTAAACTCACAAGTGTGAGAAAAAAAAGTTGCTTGCAATTATCTTTTTAGGTTTTATTCTTCGGCGAAAACAAGCTTCCATATAAACTAAACAGAACAAAAAACACAAAGTAAAGACTAAAACAAAACAAAAACAAAACAAAAAACAAAGCACAAAACAAAAAGCAAAGCAAAACAAAACATTAGTTTGAGAGTGAAACGAAAGCTTTAGTGCAAGTTCTGCCGGGAAGACTTGATTGTTATGTCACTTGTTACCTTCTCATCTATCCAATTGTGTTCTAATACTTGTAGTATAAAAGATTGGTACTTTCACATGTCTGAGTTCGCAGATGCTGACGCCTTCATTCACCTCCTCCCCACCACCACCAGGATGGTCCTGATAGAAAATCTGTCTATGTGATACTATAAGTAAATTTAAGCAGAACTGACCATGGTATGTGCGATTCCACATCCTCTTATTGACCACGTCCCTTGGGGGCCTCACACCCGACAGATCCAGAGTCTCGTTTAGGGCACGAGAATACAGCATGACTCCATCGTGAAATGATCCCGAAATCAGATTCATCTGGAAGAGAGGAAGTGCACAAATTACATACTAGCATTAAAACTCTAAATAATTGGAGTTTAAATTTGATTACTTTTATTAGATTACCAGTTCTCTAGATACTAATAGCATTTTTGAAGAAAACGTCTCAGGTTACGACTGTAACCCTGGTTCCCTGAGAGGGAACGAGACGCTGCGTCGAGATGCTGTGGGAACACCCCTGCGTGATTGTGTCGTGAAGCACGTGTATAATCAGTCCAATAGAGAGACGAGACGTCATAGGCGGGTGACGTCATAGACCAGGAAACTATAAAGCACACCTGACAACAGACTGCACTAGCTTCTGATAGGCCGAAGTAAGTCGATCACAGGCATGCAGGGAGTATGGCAGGGCGACGCAGCGTCTTGTTCCCTCTCAGGTAACCAGGGTTACAGTCGTCACCTGAGACGTTCCCTTTCAAGGGAACTCGAGTTGCGTCGAGATGCTGTGGGAACACTATACCCACGACGCCATAATAGCAAATGCCTGTTCTGTGTGAAGTCATTGTGCACACTAAGAAGCAAGCACCCTAGACCACGGAGTGAAGCCTAGATCCAAGTCATAGCCTTTGAGGCAGCCATACTCCTAGTATCTTGGTCAGACACCTCACACTGCAGCGAAGGAAACGTACTACAGGGTGTCTCCCCATGGATACACCACTTAATCTGTGACACAATCTGTTTGAATGCAAGCATCCATCCTTCTTTGGAACAATGAAGTAACTGCTGTAAACCCCTGACTCCCAACTGGGAGGAGGAATCCTTTCTATAGCCTCCTTTCGTAGAAGAGTCTGTACTCTCTTGCTCCATAACCAGAGCCTGCTCGGGGTCCACCACGTAGGGAGGACCCCTAGAAATCTGGGCGGAAGAACCAAACTGAATTCTGAAACCATTTCTATAGTGAGCAGGACCCAACAAGATATGAAGAGTTTGGTTCCAAAACGCGATAAACGCCAGTTTTAAAAAAAATTAGTTACTGCAAAAATCAGTATTGTATCTGTTTGGTATTGAAAAGTCAATGTTTAATTTTAAGTAAAATGCGATATCTGCCGTGTTTTCTTTACCAAGAAAGTGGAAAGATGAAAACCACTATTTTCTGTTTATAACTTTCACATAGCATTTGTATGTCATAATAACAAAAAAAATGTAAAATCCAGGTTTTGATTTTCAAAGATTTATTATAAAACAGGATTATTTTTCCCCCAAAATGCAATAAATCCTTTTTTTTTTTTTTTATCAAAATGCAATTAATCTATTGAATCAATATAAAAGTTGTTGTTTTTTTCATATTGAAACTGTTGAAAATACACAACAACGTAAGTTTATTAGTATAATATTTTTATTAAGAACTTTAAAGAAGATTGAAAACATTTTTCCTCCTCCCGAGTGCCTCATCTTCTTAATCTCCTCACGTAAATGATTCGATTTCGATGCCTTACGTTTCTTACCCACCGCAGAAACAACCACAGGTTCATCAATGCCATCAAAATTATTCATTTTTTTGTTTGTTTTTTGATCGAAAAGTACAAAATAGATAAGAAAAACTAGGAAGCCGGGTGTATTTAAGGCGCTGCCGTTACTGTTTACATTGCGTGGAATGGTGCGTTTTGATTGGTTGAGAGCGGATATATCGCATTCTGCAGAGAAGGGAGACTGGCGTTTGTCGCGGTTTGGAAAGAGTGGGGGAAAACATGACTGAATAACACATTTTTACTCAAATTAATCTAAATGGATTTATTGCGTTTTGGAACCAAACTCTTCATATATTTGGCAGTACCTTACACGCTGCCAGAAAATCTACTAAGGGGACCAGTCTCTCAAGACTGGCCTCTGGTATTGGCCACTTTGGTGCCCTGTAATGGCGAACCGGCAGGGAAACCGAACTGACTGCTCTACGACCCTCCTCGGAGGATCGATTGGGAACGCTGACACCTCGGTGCCCTGAAGCGGCGAACCGGAAGGGAACAACCGAACTGGAACAGCTGCGATCCTCCTCAGAGTCGCTTCCCAGGAATGATAACATAACCAGAGCCTGCTCGGGGTCCACCACGTAGGGAGGACCCCTAGAAATAGCCTATGGGTTGATGAGAACCGAACTGAATTCAGTAACCCTTTTCTATAGTGAGCAGGCCCCAACGAGATATATTTGGCAGTAGCTTCCACGCTGCCAGAAAATCTACTAAGGGGACCAGTCTCTCAAGACTGGCCTCTGGTATTGGTCGAACAGCCACTTCGGTGCCCTGTAACGGCGAACCGGCAGGGAAAACCGAACTGACTGTTCTACGACCCTCCTCAGATGATCGTTTGGGAACGCTGACACCTCGGTGCTCTGAAACGGCGAACCGGCAGGGGCCCCCCAGAGGGCGCCGAGGAAACAGGGATTCTCGAACCCGTCTAGTTGAAAGGCTGATTTCAACTAGACGATTTCAAAGCTAGCTGATTTCAGATTTCCCGTCTACTCCGTTCCCTGCGCATATTATACATTGCGGACCATTTTATGAGAAGAGCCAATTTATTATGCAGATATGCAGACCCATAATCTACGCACTGCCTCAGCAAACGCGAGATCTGAGCCAATAGATTCTGGAGCCCCGTAATCTACACGCTGCCTCGCCACACGCGAGATCCAAGATCGAGTCACAGAATCTTTATTGCAGACCCGTAATCTACGCGCTGCCTCGGCAAACGCGAGATCCGAGCCAAATCTTTATTGACTTTCTTCCCTTGAGAAGAAAGCCAACAAGAGCAGAGCTAAAACTCTCGACAGTGCAGGTTACACGTCGGGAATTTATGAATGAACATTGTCAGCCCCAATTTACTAGAACTGACCGTGCATGCTCCACTCCAAAACAAACAACACATGAATCGCGTGTGTCCCCACTCGTAATGAAGCGAGGGCAGGGACGAACACACGATCCAAGGCTGTTTGCTCTCCATACTCCTGTCTAATATATATATATATATATATATATATATATATATATATATATATATATATATATATATATGCTTGTGACAAACAACAATAAATAGACAGAGACAGAATCACACAGAAGCTAGCGCGGTCTGTTGTCAGGTGTGCTTTATAGTTTCCTAGTCGATGACGTCACCCGCCTATGACGTCTTGTCTCTCGATTGGACTGATTATACACGTGCTTCACGACGCAATCACGCAGGGGTGTTCCCACAGCGTCTCGACGCAGCTCGAGTTCCCTTGAAAGGGAACTTCAAATATCATCTTCGCAAGATTGTAATTCGATGACCCACACGAGACTGTGTGCTAAAAGAAATTGTAAGCGTTCCTAATGCTGTCCGTCATTCTCCTGTTACTCTGGTTCACTGTTTAATATCACACATTCCTCCTGTACTTTTTTTAATAATATGTTGAAATGAAATCTGTTTCTCCTGATCCAAGTACATTTCAATACAGATAATTTTTTTTGATAATGGAAATAAATTATAAAATGGCAATAAGGAGTTAGTCAGTGAGAATTATTTTATACTTGTAAATATGGTGCTCGTATATAAGTAACGTCTAAATGACAATGAATTAATACACAGATTGGTGTAGTGGTAGTCACACATGCACAAGTTAGAGATAAACAAAGAGTCCTTTAATCAACAATTGGAAGTGAGCAACCAGCTCGCAATCACTTAGAACACGATAGCAACTATGTGCCAACAACAACTAACAGAACCAACCACATAGAAACATTTTAGTTTATATTTCCTATATATATATATATATATATATACACACACACATACATGCGTATAATACACCATTCAGCACATATACTGTATTAACATTTAACTGTTTTTCAATGAGAATGAATAACTTCTACGCAGCAAAAATAGGCATCAAACTGATCAAAAGTGACTGTAAAGGCATTTATAATTTGACTTAATATTTTTATTTTGAATAAATTCTGTTCTTTTGAAGTTTCTATTAATCAAAGAATCCTGAACAAATGTATCATGGTTTCTAGAAACATTAAGCAGCAGGACTGTTTTCAACATTGATAATAATAAGAAATGTTTCTTGGATCACGTGACACTAAGGAGTGGAGTAAAAGCTGCTGAACATTCAGCTTTGCCATCAAAGGAATACATTAGATTTTAAAATATATTATATAGAAAACAGTTATTAAAGGGGTGGTTTACTGCTTTTTTTCTTTGCATGATTGTGTTTATGGGGTGCAACTTAATATGTATTCGTGTTTTTTCTTTTTTTAAAAGTCTTATTTTTCATAAATTTCATCTTTATTGTAAGCCTCTTTCTCCTCTGTCATTTGAATGACCGGTTGACTTCCTGATTCTATGAAACCACTCCCTCAGAAACAGGCAGTGGGCTCAGATTGGTTAGTTTGGGCCGGTGTGTTGTAATTGGCTAAACTGCGTAGCGCACGTTGTCCGGAACCGTCACGCCCCTCACCTTTACGGGCCTGAGTTTCATGTGCTCCGGTTAATGTAAATAATGGTGTCGATACTGCCGTATCAGTTTGAGCCCGAATCAGACCCAGAAAGCGGCGATGAAGAGTCAAACAGAACCTCCCCAAACACGGCTGTTACAAAACGTTTCTGAATGGTACGTTTTTGAATTGTTGGAGATTCTGGAAGCTGTCTTCAGTGAAATGTGCCGGACAAAGAGCTAAATTACGATTGTAATTGTCAGAAACATTATCAAACATAAATTGTAGCCATTGTTGACGAACTACAGCATCCGTAGGAAGCCCGAACACACAAGACCTGACAGCTGGATGAAAATAACACACTTTCGACGGCATGGCTAGCTCTCCCCTGTAACTCTTCCTCTTCGGCAAAGCCGCAAAAATATGGCCATGCCCTTTTTTGCGTATTCCGGAGGGAGGGTTGATGCAAATGTATGGGTTAGTGACGTCTAAAACCCAGCTGTAGTCCCAATCGAGTCGTTTTTGTAGGCATTTACACTTCCTGATTTTTAAAAGACGATATCTCTGCTT